CGGCAGCGCGGCTATAAAAGGCTCCGGATGACTGCTGCGGCCCGGCCCGCTATATTTGGTGGCGCCGTGGCGGTCGCCTGCCCAGCCCGCGGGCCGCTTCCCGAGGGAGTGCAGCACGTGTGCCACCGATCCTGGCACCCTGACGCTCCACGTCCAGGCCTGAGGCAGGTCGCAGGGGCTGACCCGCTCCTGCGGAGTGCTCAGTTTCCTAAATGGCTTGAAGTACAGGGTAGAAGGAAGTGGATAGGTGAGCTCAGGGACACTAGTGGGTGTCTGGCAAGAAGGGTCCACCTGGGCCAGCATCCTGCCTGTTCAGGACGACTTGAGTGGGCTGGTCACTCTATTGGCAGGGGGTTGAGGTCTGAGGACTGGCCCTGTCTGTGGCACTGGAGTTAGCTGTGGCCAGTGGGGCCGGCCGTTGGTGCTGGTAGGGAGTGCAGGCAATGGCAAACCAGCTGGCAACTGGGACACAGTGGGGGTTTGAGGGACCTGGTAGGAATCCGTGGCAGGTGTGACCCCCTCCTGCCCCAGGCACACAGGTGATGTGGTCAGATCCAGAGACTTAGGTGGAGACCCAGGGTGACCTTGGGCAGGGCCAGCTACCCCAGGGTTAACCTTGCTTCCACCAGTTTGTGGGGCAAGGGAGGAGGAGTACTGTAGGGTAGGATGTGTGCCCATGTAAGGGATGGAGGGGTCCCACCCTATGCCTGGTGGGGAGTGGTGTGGGGGGGAGGGGTGCATGTGACCCGGAGGTGGGCCCCTCAGAAGGGGGAAGCTGGACCTGAAGGTGGCCCCATCTTAGGCCAGTCCAGCCCACCAACCCTCAGTTCACACCCGTGAAATGGGCTGCTGGAAGCACCGCTCGCGTGGGGGCGGGGAGGGCACCCACCTGAGGCCCCAGGATTTGTCAAGGCCCGTTGGTGAAGAGGAGAGAGCCGCCCCGCCCCACGCTGCTGGAGAGGCTCCCAGGTTCCGCTAAGCACAGCGCCGCGGGCGGATGCACACCCGGCAAATACGGTAGCGGCCGGCGTGGGCGCATACTCCTGGCAATACGGTGGGGCTCCTCCCTTGGCAAGATCACGTCCCCCACGTCCGTCCGGAGTCCGGGCGGACGGAGCAGCTGCAGCATCCTCTTCTGCACCCGGCCCCTCGGTGGGCAGGCTTGCGGCCGCCGGGCATAGGGCCACCTGAGGGCACGCGCTGGGGAGGCCAGCCGCCAGTGGAGCGGGAAGGTGGCGCCCGGAGGCACTGCATAACCCGTCTGCCTGTTCCTAGACTCCACCCAGGCATGTATGGCCCCTGGGCAGGGCTCAGGGTCCCAATTCTCACCCACACCCCTTCCACATCTCAGGGGTGTCTCCCCAGCCCTGGGCGGATGGTCCTTTTACCCCTCTTAGGGCAAGAGGGCAGGTATGGTGGCCCAGCCTCCCCAGCCCTCTGCCCATAGATTTCTGCCAGTGGCCAGCCCTGGTGCCGGCCCGCAGAGGAGACAAAGTGGTGTGTGAGGCACAGGCATGATGCTGGTGGCATGAACCCGCACTTTATTCCTTGGCATGGCTGAGTCAGATTCTGTGCTACGACTTGACCACAACCTATGTATCCCTTCTTGCATGGATGGACTTTTGGACCGTCTCCAGTCTGGGTTCCTGCGAGCATCGTTTCCTTGACAGTGGACTGGACAAATGGGGGAGGGTGGTGTTGGCCAGCCTCCTGCCCCACAGGCTCTAGGTCCAACTCTGCCAACCAAGACTCGTCCAAAGATGCCAGCTGGGGAGGCACCCTGGTGACCACCCACTGCCCAGAGACATCTTGAGCCCTACCTCCTGTAGGTCGGAGGGCATCCAGCCCGGGGGTCCTGCAGAGATGGGCCATGGGACCCCGCTGTGACTGAGTTCAGGGCTGGCCACTGGCACAGTGCAGTGTGGACAGTGAGGCCAGGGATTCTGCCCACTGGCCCCTCCATGAGCTGACAAGTGGGACATGCACCTGCAGGGGCACTGGTGCATGTTGGGGCCAGTGAGTGGGAGTCCACCAGGATTGGGTAGACCTTTGCCCAGTACCCACCCTCAGGGAGGCAGCCTCCAGACCTGCCCACTTCCTTCTAAGCCAGGTGGAGGAGGTTCGGGATGCACGGATCACAGGTTACCTGTTTGCATAGCACACAGAGGGTTGGGGTGGGAAGCTTGGGAAAGACTGGCCAGCCCCGCCCCGCTACCCCAGGCCGTGTGTCCAAGCCTCTGGTGTGTGAGCAGCCCAGGAAGGGACCCTTGGAGGGAAAAAGTCAGATCTTGGGAGCCTCCCCCAGCTCACTAAGCACCAAGGCCCAGACCACAGGGACAGGGCCTAGAACTGAGGGGAGTGGCCATTCAAGGTCTGGAACAGAGGGATGAGGCTGGGGGAGGGTACACGGGAGGTGGGATGGGTCCCAAGGCTGTTTCCATGGCTGGGTGTGTCAGACTGACCCAGGAGCCACAGGTCTGGGTCCTGTTGGGTTTGGGGGCTGGCCTGGGCATGGGTGGGTTCCAAAGTCAAAAGTGAGTATATGCAGAGGGCACTGGGGTGCTGAGGCCTCAGCTGCACCCCAAGGCTCCAACTCCTGCGCTGCCCTGGGTGCTCCTCCAGATGGCTTGAGGGGGCTGTCAGTGTGGGTGTCCCTGCCTCCAGCAGCCTGGCATGGGGGGGGGCAGGTGGTCTTCATGTTGGCACTCAAGCTGAGCCTCCTTGCCCCATCCACTTAGCATATCAGCTTCAAGGGTGGTTATTTCTGGGCTGGCATGCTTCCCCAGAGGGTAAATGTCACAAAAGGCCAGCATGCCGCCCTGGTCCCTGGCCACCCCCACCCTGGACCCACACCTCGAGGGGCAGCTGGGCTCCTCTTTACACACGTGCATTGGTGGGAGCCCAGTCTCCGGATGGATTTCCCAGCCCCTTGTCCTACCTCCTAGTACAATCCACAACCCTCCAAGCCTGTGCCCCCGTCCCTGTCGAGCTGCACTTTGTCCCGTGACTCAGGCCATCAGGCTGGTGTCTGAAGATGAACCACCCCCACCTCTCTGCAGGCCCTTGGTAGGCTCCCCACGTGAGCCCCAGGGGCAGGTCCTAGAACACGCTGTGCCCTAGGGCCTTGGTCTGCTGCCCTCTGCTCACTCCTTACCCTCCTGGAGGCCAAATTGGGGGACGCCTCCTCTCCTGCAGGCAGCCTCTCGTCCAGGCTGCTGACGCCAGCTACCTGCCAGCCCAGCCACAGGCCTGCTCCCTGCACAACTGGGAGGGAGCGGTCAGCCACCTGAGACCCCTAGGGGGGAGAGGGCAGTCTCTGGGCAGCTTCTAATTTGAACCCAGGACCACCTGGAATTCCAGGACTGCACCATCCCCATCTCTGTAGCATTTCAACACATTCCCTGAAGTAAAGGTTTGGGCTTGGTGGTCTGAGCGGGACTCTCAGCACTAAGCATGGGGCAGTGAGCATGGGCAATCTCTCAACTTCTGGGCCAAGCTGCCATCTCTTACTGCAGCTGCTCCAGGCAAGCTGGGTGCTAGGAGGGACACACAGACCCAGAGACCACTCGGGCCAGACTCAGCAGGAGGCACTGTGGGGAGAGGTGCTCACACCCTGGAAATGTCGATCACCACACAGGGCTTTTCCTGTCCCTAGAGGGCTGCCGGCACCTCCTGTGGGAGGGCCAGCCTCCTTCCGTACTGAGTGTCCCCTGCCTGGCCTGCCCTCCATAGGTTCCTGCCCCAAGTCAGGTGAGGCCTGAACCCCCAGCCCATGTCCTGCACAGCAGACCCCCGTGTCCCCCCGAGCTGAGTGAGGCCCATGGTGGAAAGTTCTCGGGGAAGAGCAAGGTGCAGACTGACAGGGGGGTGACCAGGGCCTGGCTGCATGTGAGTCTTGTTGCCCCGCCCCCCCCCATGTGCTCTACCCCACCCTGTCCACACGCAGCCAGGCCCAGAGGGGTGGGCAAGGGGCAAGCTCAGGGACAGAGACCTCACACGCTGAGTGACCTTGCCTGCCAACTGGGACAGTGCCAATGACCCGCAGCTTCCCGAAATAGGCCCCAGCCTCAGCCACAAACGCCAGCCAGGCCGGCACCCCCATGGGGTACCCGCTGCCCAGGAGGCTGTAACCCGAACCCTGCTGAGCCCAAAAAAGCCACTGCCCTTTAGAGGGCCAGCTGCCACCCCAGCCCTGTTGAGCTGCACCCGGCAGAGCCACAGGTGGGCTCTGAGATAGTGCTGGGGCAGCCTGTGCCGCTGAGGAAGTGCTGTCCAGGTCAGAGCTGGTGGGCGCTAGGGCTGGGGGCCTATGCAGAGCTGGCTGTGCACACGCCCCCTCCCCCCGCCTGTGTGCAGATCTGGGTGTGTGTGCGTGCAGCGTCTGTGCAGATCTGGGTGAATGCATGTGTGCCTGTGTATACACATGCACCTAGGCAGAGGTGTGGGGAGGGGGTGTGGCCATCATACAAACTTGGGCTGGGAGGATGGTCCAGTGTGTGGTCACTGGTGCACAGCACAGCAGTGTCCACGTGTCCTGGGCATGTCCTGTCCCCACTCTGCAGGGTGGCCTCAGCCGAGATTGTCACCGTGGCAACCACAGTGATTCCTATTGCAGGCGGGCAGAGCCGGCGCTCCAGCCATGGGCGGCGCGGTGGTGGACGACAGCCCTCCCGGGGTCCCGGCCCCGGATGGGGGCTGGGGCTGGGCTGTGCTCTTCGGCTGCTTTGTCATCACCGGCTTCTCCTACGCCTTCCCCAAGGCGGTCAGTGTCTTCTTCAAGGAGCTCATGAAGGAGTTCGGCATTGGCTACAGCGACACTGCCTGGATCTCCTCCATCCTGCTGGCAATGTTGTATGGCACAGGTCAGGCCCTGCGGGGGGTGGCGGGAGTGCCAGGGGGCACGTGCAGGGCGCCACTGTTCCCGCTGTGGCCCTGGGTGTACTCACAGGCCGTCCAGAGGCCCAGGGACCCAGCTGCCCTCATAAAGACGCTCTGGTGGGGGCGGGGGCTGTACCCAATGCGGAGTAGACCTTTCCACCGCGCACACGCCTGCCCGGAGCTGGCACTGGCGGCAGGGGTTGGCCTGGGCGGGGCCAGGGTGCACCCTGCCCTCAGCACGCCCCGCCCCCAGGGCCCCTGTGCAGCGTGTGTGTGAACCGCTTCGGCTGCCGTCCGGTCATGCTGGTGGGCGGAGTCTGCGCGTCCTTGGGCATGGTGACCGCATCCTTCTGCCGGAGCATCCTTGAGGTCTACCTGACCACGGGGGTCCTCACTGGTGAGTGGGCTGGGGCGGGGGTAGGTGTTGGGCAGCCCTGCGCTGAGCAGACGCATCGGGGGATGGGTGGTCCTGGGGGCCAGCAGGCCCCTTGTGCCCGCCTGCCTCACCAGCACCCTCCCGTCCAGGCCTGGGTCTCGCGCTCAACTTCCAGCCCTCGCTCATCATGCTGAACCGCTACTTCAGCCAGCGGCGACCCCTGGCCAATGGGCTGGCAGCAGCGGGCAGTCCTGTGTTCCTGTGCGCCCTGTCCCCGCTGGGCCAGCTGCTGCAGGACCACTACGGCTGGCGCGGCGGCTTCCTCATCCTCGGGGGCCTGCTGCTCAACTGCTGCGTGTGCGCCGCGCTCATGCGGCCGCTGGAGCCGGCCCGCACGCCGGGGTCCCCCGAGCCTGGCCCGCGCGCGCCCGTGCGCCGCCGCCTGCTGGACCTCAGCGTCTTCCGCGACCGCGGCTTCGTCATCTATGCGCTGGCCGCCTCCATCATGGTGCTGGGCCTCTTCGTGCCGCCTGTGTTCGTGGTGAGCTACGCCAAGGATCTGGGCACGCCCGACACGCAGGCCGCCTTCCTGCTCACCGTGCTGGGCTTCATCGACATCTTTGCGCGGCCCACGGCCGGCCTCATTGCCGGACTGCCACGAGTGCGGCCCTACTCCGTCTACCTCTTCAGCTTCGCCATGTTCTTCAACGGGGTGGCCGACCTGGGGGGCTCCACTGCCACCGACTACGGCGGCCTGGCGGTCTTCTGTGTCTTCTTCGGCATCTCCTACGGCATGGTGGGTGCCCTGCAGTTTGAGGTGCTCATGGCCATCGTGGGCACCCACAAGTTCTCCAGTGCCATCGGGTTGGTGCTGCTGCTGGAGGCCATGGCCGTGCTGGTCGGGCCCCCCTCTGGGGGTGAGTACAGTGTGTGTGTCTGTGTGTGTGTGTGTGTGTGTGAGAGAGAGAGAGACAGGGAGCACCAGCACTGGGGGCCATCACACACCCGGTCAGTGGACTAGATCCCAGCCCCCGTGGCCATTCTTGCTGCTGGACAGCCACACATAGGCTGAGACCACCTCTGGCTGCCCATAAGGACACCTGCCTGCTGTAGGGGCTGGGAACACTTTAGAGGTGCAGGGTGTCAGTGCCAGAACTGGGTGCCATGTCCTTCCTGTCAGACACTCCCATCCCCACCCCAGGGTGCCACACAACCAGAGCCCACCCCATGTCCAATGAAGGCCACTGTTGGAAGACCAGCCCCAGGCCTCCTCAGAGCCCAGCCACACACACCCTTACCCCACCCCACACCCTCATGGCTGGGCACTGAGACTCCACCCCTCTGCAGGCAAGCTCCTGGACGCCACGCATGTCTACCAGTACGTGTTCCTGCTGGCGGGCGCTGAGGTGCTGTGCTCCTCCCTCGTGCTGCTGCTGGGGAGCCGCTTCTGCAGGGGCCACGGGCCAGGGACGTCCGGTGGGGAGGCGGCCCGGCAAGAGCAAGCCCCTGACCCCACAGCTGGCGTGGTGGATGCCCGTGAAGTGGAGATCTTCCTGAAGGACCAGCCCGCCACCAACGGGGAGGCCACGCACAGCCCGGAGACGAGCGTCTGAGTGGGCGCCGGGGACAGGCGCTGAGAGGAGCTGGATTTATTCACACGCAGGGCGGGCGGGCTGCCTGGTGGCACCGGTCACTATCTTGCGGGGGAGGTGGTGGGGATGGGGGCGTCCCATTCCACGTCTGGTCTGCAGTGGAGCCAAGCTTGGTTACAGAGCTGCCCTGGGGGCTGGCCACCCTCTCCCCACCCTCCTGCCCACCCAAGGACTGGGACTCAGGACCCACCTTCACTGGAGGTGGGGGCCTCTGGGCATGCCCTGCTGGGACTGGGCCCCTGGGGCACAGAGAACCCTGTGGGGGTGCTCACACACCTGGGGCTGGAGAACAGGACTTGCAGGAGCCTGGGAATCGGTGAGGGTGCTAATGGAGCCCCAACTGTGCTCTGCTGAGAAACCAACCGGAGCCAGGTCTCAGTGCTTCTGTCTGCGCTCAACAGGTCCCCAAGGACCAAGCAAAGGCCTAGCTGTTGTGTGCGCGCGTGTCTGTAGTACACCTGTGATAAAGGCTGGTTCACCTGCCTCCTGCTGCCTGGCCCACTCATAGACCTGCCCTGGACCTGCATGCACCACCTCCCACTGTCCCCGTCCTCGCCCAAGGCCCTGCCCTGGACCTGTATCTGCCACTGATGCTGTCTAGCACTTGTGCACAGGACTGACGTGCCCACACCCACCTGCCCTTGTGGCCAGTGGCGGCCTGCACAGCTGAGCGCCTGGCTGGAGGCCGCTGGGGCCGCCGCTGCCTCAGTACGTGGTACGTCGTGGGCGCTGGGGACGAGCGCGGGTGCCCTGGCGGGCCGCGTGCAGCCGGAGTGACGCCACGTCCCTGCTTTTCTGTAACAAAAGCGAGCATGTGGTCTCAGGCCCCGCCAGAACCACCAGTCTGCCAAGACCACACTCCAGCCTCGTCCCCACCAACTCCCCACTCCACTCAGGTCCACCCTGTGGGGACAATGCAGCTACTAACCTGAGAGGGGTCCCAGACACAGGACCTGCAGACCTGTCTGTGAGCCAAGCAGGGGGGGCCAAGGCCCAGCTCCCCTCTGACCACCGTGAGCTCAGGATGGGGGCACTCCCAGGGACGGCAGAACAGAGGGCCCTCCCTGCCCACTGAAGAGGGACTGCCCATACCCCTGACCCAATGGGGATGTGGGAAGAATGGGGGGAAATTTCTAGAACCTTCTACAATTTGGATCATGGCGGTCACCCCACTAACCCCACTGTGGGTAGTCGGTAGGTCCTGTCATAGCCACCTGACACCCTGGGCCCCAGTGGCCTCCAACCCGGCAGCCCTTAACAGGGGCCACATCTGTCCGCAGCCCCGGCTCTGCATCCACAGCACACCCTCCAAGAGGTGCCGCCCTGTGGGCCAGATGGGCTGTAGCTGCTGTGCTGCCATACAGACCCACCCAAGGGTGCTCCATCCTGGGGGCTCCCCAGTGCACGCAGGGCAGGGGGTGGGTGGAATGGCGGCAGGAGTCGTGGGGCTCCAGCAGGGGTGGGGACAAGGAGGGAAGGGCAGTGGCCACAGGCTCGGAGCCCAGTGGTTCTGCACTGGGCTCTCAATCACAAGTTCGATTGAGAGCTGGTTCTGAGGAAGATGAGGCTTTCTACGTTTGTAAAGAGTTTCAGCCTCAGACTCCCACAGGGCAGTCCCACCCTGTCTCTCACAGGGGGGCTACAACGCCGTGGTTGGAGTTTTAGGGGCTCTGACAGGATGCTGGGCTCCATCTGTGCCCAAGGCACCTTGTTCTCAGCCTGCCAGCTGCCAGAGGAGGCCAGGTGAAGCTGAGGAGATCTCAGCAAGCTTCCAGAGGAGGATCAAGATGGATGACCCAGAGCTCTTTCCCCACTCTTCAGCTGAGTATTCGGGCACGGGGGTCTGTGGGGACCCCGCACGGTGCCTCGCCCTGCAGGGCACCAGGCTGCTACGAGCTAGGGTGGTGGGATGGCAGAGCTCACAGCTTGGAAAGGCTTTAAGGGTGGGGAGTGAGGGGAGGCCCCACCATACCACTGGTGGGAGGAAAAGTCCAGAAGGGAGCCCATTGGAAACCCCAAGGACCGCAACCAATGGGGGACCCCCACCCTCCAGGGCCAGCTAGCAATTAGCCTGCCCTGCCAGGGAGCTAGGTCCTGTGGCTGGTCCGAGGACAAGCAGCACTCCGAGTAGCACCCAGCCCAAGCCACGTGAGGTCTGCAGACGGAGAAGACCCAGGCCGCAAGAAATGAAGACCAGGGCCGGGGCTGGGGAGAAGTGTAGAAGCTGTATGAATTTATTATTTACACCGTCGTCAGAGTACACAAATACAGTGGCGGTACAAACACACTGTCCCGAGACTCCCGGACACACAGATGACAGGCCAGCACACATTCTAACTACATGGGGCAGGGCCTGTGATGTGGGGCACTGGGCACACAAGAGCCTTGTCCCTGGTTCCCATCTGAGTGACCACCAGCTCGTCCTGGAGCGCCCACTAGCAGTCACAGGGTGAGGCCTGCGGACCCAGCGCTGCGGGTGGTGCAGCGCGTGCTTTCACGCACCTGAGTTTGGGCAGGTCATTCTCTAGACTGCATGGTCACCCTGAACCCCAGACAATGCTGCCTGCCCCGCAAGCCCCCCCGATTCCAGCAGCCCACTCACACTCACGTCCCTGATGCGCCCCGTGGCCGCCTTAGCATGGAGACCCCCAGCAGCCCTTCCTCTTCCAGAGAGGACCTCCCAACTGCTGGCCAACAGCACCTGTTCCGAGTGGGGCACACGCACACGGGACCCCCACACGCGATTGTGTTGGTGAGCATCCTTGCCCAGTGGACCACACAGCACAGCACGACAGGACAGCAGATGGACGGACACACACGGCCGGCGCCCAGCGCTGGCAGCCGACCCCTCACACACAGCGCCAACCAGGGCCTCGTTCCAGGCTGACACCAACAAAACAGACAAGGAGGAAACAAGAAAAAGACGGGTTTCTTCACACAGGTTTAAGCCAAGAGTTTTTAGCAAAATGATACAAAACTGTCTTAACCAAGAGAAAGGTCGGTAGTTACAGTAGGCTCGCGGGCGCACAGGCCACCGAGGTGGCGGCAGCGGTGCGGAGACGCAGGCGGGCGGGGCCGGCAGCCCCAGGCGTGTCGTCCTGTGTGTCCCATGCGCCCGTGGCGATTGGCCGGCTTCTGCGGCTCGCCTTCCTGCTCGGTCGGGCGCGGCACTAGGAAGCCATTGGTACATGATGAGCCATGCATGCCTGCCTCGCGCACAGGCGCTCACCGCGGCACGGCAGACTGGAGACCACTGGGCGCCACCCGACCAGGAATCTGTCGGAGCCAAAGCACACAGAGCGAGCATCAGGGGGGTGCCCGCCACTCCGCCCGCCGTGGACAGGGACAGATGACGGCGAGGCGGTGGCATGCGAGCAGGTGGGCGGGGACGCAGCGGCGCAGAGCAAGGAGAAGCCACCTGCGCCTGGCCCGCTCATCGGGAGGCACCCAGTGAGGCCCCGACCGCGTGGAGTGAAGCCGAGCCTGGCGGCGGGTGCAGTGCGTGGTGCCCAGGGCGGCGGCAGCGAGGGCGCCATGCACCAGAGCACGAGCGGGCCGCGGGGACAAGTACCAGCTATGGGACAGACGCTGGGCGGCAGAGCTGAGCTTGGAGAGAAAAACGAGTGACAGACGGAAGGCGGCGGAGAGCGAGCACCACACAGCGGGCGGGCACCCGGCTCCAGAGCTGCAGCCTGGCCCCGCTGGAGGCCCGAGTCCCCACGTGGGACCCACTGGGGGACATCCGGTGAGGTGCCCACGGCCTCGGGCCTGGCATGGACAGACACCCCCACTCACCGGTGCTGCTTCCACGGAGACGAGCAGCTACTTGCCGTGGTGTTCAAAGGGAGCGCTATTCTGAGGTGGAGAGACGGCTGTGGTGAGCAGCCGCCCGGCCTGCACGCCCACGCCACCAGCAGCTCCAGACCCTGACAGGCCCCTCCTGGGCAGGACACAGCCCCTAATGCTCCTCACAGCAGACCCTATGGGCAGCTGGCAGCCCTAGGGGTGCTTGGTGCCCCCCCCCCCCATGCTTACAGCTGCCCACCCAAGGACCCCTGAGGTATGGGCCTCACAGACATCCTTGAACCAGCCTGGGCCAAAGTTACAGCTGGTCTGGGAGGTGCCGCCTGACCCCAGATCACAAATAGGCTGGGAACTAGTGCTGGACACAGCTGGGGAGTGGGGGACCCACGCAAAGCACAATGGCGTCCTGAAGGGGTATGTGTGGGAGAGGGGGGGCCAGCAGGGCAGGAGGCCAACATGCTGGGGCCACCGAGAGCCAGGGTGACCACTGGTGAGCCAAGAATCCCGAGAGAAAATGCCACAGAACCAGGGCCTGTGACCCACTGTATCAGAGTATGGGGACAAAGGGACGGGAACAAAGGCACACACTGGCCCATCACAGACGAGTCCGCCCGCAAAGACTTTCTGCCGGAGGAAGAGCGCCGCACCCCACCAGCCCACAGGGAGGCCAGGGCCATGCCCCATGCCAACAGGCAGCGGGGTGAGGTCTGCAAGCCAGACAACCACCCTGCGGTGAGGAGGAAGACCACTCTGAACCCCAGTCACGTTCTCAGCTCAGACACCTCAGATACCCCTGCAAGGACACAGAGGGTGCCCACATCTGCTGCCCCAGGTCTCCTGGCCCCGGCCTACTAACCACCGCTGGTCCGGGGAGGCCCTGCTCCCACGTTACTGCCGCCCCAGGGAGCAGAAGTCTCCATGGGACATGCAGGCGAGCCCTGAGCTGCCTGAGAACAAGACCACCCGCTGAAGAGGCAAGCTGGGTATCTATGGGCAACGGCGGCGGCAGGCGAGGCGAGCGCCCCCCCGGATGCCCTTCTTAGGCTGGGCCCACCAGTGCAAGAGCCTCTGTGGGTCAGCGGGGAAAGTCCGCACGAGCGGACCAGAGCGCCGAGAGGCCTGTGCCGGGGCCAGGTGTCCTTGTGGCCTCTGCGGCGTGAGACCAGGTCAGAGAGCAGCCAGAACTGCCCTACCGTGTGGGTGCGAGCATGCCGAGGACGGTCAGGGAGAGCAGCAGCGGGCAGAGCCTCACCTGTGAGGTGGACATGCGTGACGTATCTTGCCGGCCTGTGAGATCGGACGAAGAGACGTTGACCGGGGCGCCGCGGTGCAGCCGCATACTCACTTTCCGCTCTCGTTCCACGCCAGAGACGGGCCGCGGAGAGGTGTTTGCTGGGGGTATGAGGGGAGGGCAGGCACTGAGGGTCCTCCTGCCCCATGCCAAGCACAGGGGGCCCTGAGCTTGGGAAACATGCCCAGTGGGGGGTTCCTGGCAGCAGGGCTACATGAGAAGCAGCAGGAGGGAGCACACAAGCAGGCCCAGGATCATCCCACCGCCTCCAGCCAAGCCACCCCCCACCCCACCGCACCCCCAGAATCAGCATGAGAACCGATGGATGCTGCCTGCCGTCTGGGGACACTCACCAGTGTGTGAGGTAGGGGTGAGGGGCGTGGGGGGAGCCACCTCTTGGGTTCCCCGCAGGCGGCCGGAGGCTGTGGAAGGGAGGCCCCTGGTGGCGGGATTCCGGGAGTGTCTCAGCCGCTCCTCTCGGTCCCGGCGTTCCCGCTCTGCATCGTCGGCGGCCCGGCTGGCCCCCTAGAGGGAGGCAGCACATTGTACCTTGGCCCAGTATTGACAGAGCTAAACCCTGTCAGCGTCTGGGGAAGGAGGGCCAGGCCGGGCACCATCCATCAAGGCTTGCTCCCAGCACTGACATTCGTCCACAAACCCCAGTACTGGGGCACTCCCCTCCAGTGGATGAACTGTGACACCCGTCTCCTGAAGCAATGCCCACGTGCCACCCCCAAGGGTTGGGCCCTACACTCCGCTGGAACTCTGCTGCATTAGGACCAGGCTCTGCCTGGCGCTCATGGGCCTTCCTGTTCTGAGTCGTCTGAAGGACTGTCAGTTACCGCCCCCCGCCCCCCCACGCACGCAGCACCCAGGGAAGGGAAGAGGAAGCGGCCTGCAGGACTTGAGGTTGCGCAAACTCGCCCTGCAGCTCCTGGAGGGAAGGGGTGTGCAGCCGCCACAGGCACCACTCTCACCCCGAGAAGGACCCAGGTTGGCGGTGGCCCTACCCCACCACATGACACTCACAAGACAGGGGTGAGGACGAGGCTCCCAGGGCTTCCTCACAACCACACACCCAGAGGGGTGCACTGGCAGCCCAACACCACGGCGCCACTTACGAACTTGAGCATGTTCCAGTCAAACACATAGTCGTAGGAGAAACCCTGGCGGTGGAAGAGGTTCCGGAAGAGCTGTCTCAGGTACGAGTAGTCGGGCTTGTCGTCGAAGCGCAGGGAGCGGCAGAAGTTCAGGTAAGTGGCGAACTCAGCTGCAAAGCAAGGAGCTCAGCTGCAGCCTGGGGTGGCAGTGTGCGGCCCATCACGGACAGAGCAGACGCCCTGCGAGAGGTGCCAGGACCACTGGCAGACGCGCCCATGCCCCACGCCTAGGGCACTTACAAGGATAGCCTTTGCAGAGCACCTCAATGGGTGTGGACATTTTCTTCTCGCTGATTCGCTCGTACTTCTGCCTCTTGGTGGCGGCCTTCAGCCCCTGCCAGGGCAGGGAGCCCAGGTTGAAGTACATCAGCACGTAGCCCAGAGACTCCAGGTCATCGCGGCGGGACTGCTCTGCAAGGCAGCAGGCAGGGCCATGAGGGACGGCCCCGGCCCCTCAGAACAAAGCAGAGCAAACACCACACCTGCTTCACCACCACCAGCCACACACTTTCCTGGGACCACCCAGTAGGCGGTGGCTCACCAATGCCAAGGTGGGTATTGATGGAGGCATATCGAGCTGTGCCGGTGAGGTTCTTGTTCTCGCGATAGGGGATGTGCTGGTGGGTCCTGGCGTCCCGGTACTTCTTGGCCAGCCCGAAGTCGATGATGTAGACAAGGTTGCCCTTCTTGCCCAAGCCCATGAGGAAGTTATCTGGCTTCACATCTCGGTGTATAAAGTTTTTTGAGTGAATGTACTCGATGCGACTAATCTACAGGCAGACACAGGGGTGAGAGGTGACACCCAAAATTAGAGGCAAAGAACGGGGCCTGCAGCCCACTGTGTGCCCCTCAGGCGGTCAGTCTAGCACGTGGAAGGACACTGTGCAGACAGATGGCAGGCCAGCGGACAATGATCTGAGCCAACACTACGTCTCACACGGGGCATAGGAAGTCCCTCAGAAACATCGCAGAAGTCCTCTTAGACTCAAACTTGTGTTCCCAAGATGAGATCCCCCACTGAAATGTACGCTCTGGCACTGCAGGGTGACATCAAACCTACGGTCTTAAGGCAAAAGTTAGCTTCCATTTGCTCTCCAGGTGTTCATGGTGTAAAAAGGTGAAAAACAACTATTGAGAAATTATCAAACCAACGAATACTGACCGAGCACTCATGCTGCTCAATCCCCCTGACTGGGTGACCAGGTCCCACTGACTAAACCACCTGGCCTCATGCTGAGCCCACAGCCTCCACAACTGTCCAGTCATCTCACCCACATGGGCTCTTACCATCTGGTCAGCGAGGAGCAGGACGGTCTTGAGGCTGAATTTCCTGGAGCAGAAGTTGAAGAGGTCCTCCAGGCTTGGTCCCAGCAGCTCCATGACCATGACATTGTAGTCCCCCTCTGCACCACACCACCGGATGGTAGGGATTCCCACTGCCCACGAAGCCAGACAGAGGAGTCAGTTGGCTGGATCTGGCTAGCACTGTGCCAGGCCACCTGTGCCCAAGGCCTCTCATGGGTCACATGGGCCCCAGAGGAGACCTCTTGCAGCCCCCCCTAAGTAGGCAGCCCAGGTTCTTTCTGAACCACACGGAACAGACAGCATCTGACAAGGGTCAAGGTGAGGGTGGCAAGGAGACCCCCGAGGCCAGTCCCAGAGCCTGGCAGGGCTCCGAGGGTAGACGATGGGGTGGAGGCTGGGCACCAGTGGAGAAAGGCTCTAAAGGCTGAGAGGGGCAATGGGAGTGATGCCGAGACCTCAACGCCCGGTTGAGCCCGGCTGGGGCCATGCTGGTTTGTTTCTCTAGAAGAGCCAGCCTGACTGGCACAACCACTGGCACTGGAGGACCCAGGCCTGCCGAGCCCCAGGATTGATGGGGCCAAACAGACTGGTGGCGCCGCTCAGAGCCCTAGCCGAGAAGCTGGCTGACAGCGACCCAGCCAGTGCTGCTTCCGGCTTCGAGGCTTCACACATAAAACAAGGCCAGAGACGAGTGACAAAATGAGCAGAAGACAGGTGCACGTCCCAAAGAAAAAACATGAGCGCCCCAGGGCCCTGCTCACGCACCCCACCCCCACCCCGCGCGCGGCCATGGCTTCCCACTATGCGAGATGGTGACAATTCTGTCCACTCACCTCAGCGGACCTTTCTCACTTGTAGTGCCCGAGCCAGCCCCACCCCGAGGCCACCCCCCGCCCCAGGCTGTCTGTGTCTTACCAACTGCTTTCTCTACCTCACCCAGGTGAGTGCACCCCATGTTCCCACTGCCCAGCGCAGCCTCCTGCCCTCAACCCGAGGTGTTTGCACAGGCAATGCAACCCTAGAGGCACGCAGACGCACAGCTCTGGGAACCAGAGCGGGAGGCACAAGGGAACAACAGAGGTCAGAGAAACGACTCTGAAGTCTTTGTAGACTTTGAATACTCCACTTCATGGACCCGCTGATTCCGTGCAGCAAAGCTCTGGAAAGGTTCCCTGCTCCATGTAGCACCTCAGTCATGTGCCCCTTGTATCGTGCCCGATATAAGCATGGCCCGTCAGTCGCCAGTAGTGAACCAGGACTGGAGCAGCAGTGTGAACTGAAGCCTGTGGCGGGGCATCCTCAGACACGGTGCCCTTTGGGAGAGAGTGGGCCTGCTGCAGCGGCCCTCTCGCACTCCCCACCGCTGGGGGTCTGCGCCTGTCCTCACTTCCTGACAGTTCTAGAGGCGGCGTGATTTTCAGCTGAACTTTGCAGCCACTTCTGCTGCCACAGCACCGCACTGCCCGTCGGCAGAGCACGTGCTCCGCACGTTGCGCCGGCACAAGCACTCACAGCCGAGACCTGGGACCTGCACTCCTCAGAAGCACGTCTTTACAAGTTTAGTGTATGCCATCCAATCGATACTCCCTTCAGAAAGCACACCACCCTTACCTGCCTCTAGAGGTGGGGTCAGTCTCCACAAGCACAAACTTAGGCATGACTCCCCCCCCCACCCCAGTACAAACAATGGAAGGGAGAGTCTAGTTCCTGGCTTGTTCTGGTCCACGTATGTATCTAAGAGCATAGTAGCTGGGTCAGAGGATGGCATTACCATAGCCCTGGTGGCACAGGGGTCAGTTGGCTTCTGTAAAGGTTAGTCGTAGAAGCTATCAGCATTTCTACCCTGCCCTACAGAACCGACCATCAACTCAAGCAGTCAGTTTGATTTTGAGGATAATGCCAAATTGTCTTTTAAAACACACGTGAGAGTTAGATAATCTGGTGTCAACTTGAGACTATTACACGTGAAGAGGTGGAGTCTAGCCTGTCAATCAGGTTGCAGCTTGATGACCTCATGTGGACGTGCTAAGGAGATTAATAGCTTGCTGGAGACAAGACACACACAAACTTCCTGCGAGACATTCCAGTTGATAAGCTACATGAAGCTACGCTGACGGAGCCACACAGAGACCCACGCCAGTCTGAGATGCTTCCATGGACTTGATCTGGGCTAGGCTAGGATGCTTTAATGTACAGTTGCTCCTTTATATAAAGTTCTGCACACATCACATGAGTCTCCCTGGATTTGTTTCTCTAGCCTACTCGGACCAACACAGCAGATAAGCTCCCTCTACAGACAAAGGAGTTCCTGATTCGGCTTCTCTCACACGTGCTGCTCAGAACCCCATCCACCTAGTGGGCGTCAGGAGGCCAGAGGACGCCGGGCCTTGCTGGAGCTAATGCTCAGCCACCAAGCCCGAGGCTGGTACTTTGAACCACCAGTGGCTCCCCAGGACAAGGCCATGGCAGTCTGGCCTGTCCTAGTTTCAACCTTGGGAAGTCTGTGGGGATCCTGCATGTGGGGGGGCAGAGCCGATGTGGCAGCAGGCCTGGGGGGCATGTAAATAGCGCTTCTGAAATCATAGCCTGGCCTTCTCAGGTGCTGACTGGCCACGTTTCTTTGAAATGTCTTGTCACCTTTCCTTTCAACAGCAGTTCCTTTACTGGATTGGGGGGGGCTGCGGCAGCTTCTGAACGTCATGGAAAAATGATACAGGAGGATAACATAATTTCCCACAGATTTCCCGACACTCCCTCACCACCTCACTCAGGCACAGGGCTTTTCCTCCTCGTTTTCTGGGATCGTGTCGGATGAAAAGAGGCGGCTCACTTCAATGATGTCGGAGACATCAGCTGCCCTCCAGGCATGGTCCTGCGTGCGTCTCACAAGGGAACGGCTTCTAACTTCAGGGTCAGAAAGGGATGCTCTTGTGTTGTGTCATTTTTCTCAAAATATATGAAGTCAAAAAAGTATCACTATCAGATTATAGAAATTTTTATTAGACAAAAACCATCAAAATGTGCCCCTAATGTTTACTCTATACTTTTCTCCCTTGGCTGCACCCCCATCTGAAGGTGGGGTTTCTGAAGCTCTAACCCTTCCCTCCAAAGAGCTCTGGGCTTCATATCTGGCATCACATTCCATTCAAATGCTGAGTGTGGGGAAGAAAAGGAGTCTCAGGGGTGCGATGAGGGACGGAGGGCAGCTGGGTAAGGTTTACCAAGGACAGTATTGTAGAAAGGAGGGAAAAAACCTGGCAACCGATAAAACCAGAAACTGCAAAATCGAATAGGTTGATGTGTGTTACAAAATAGAGCATCATTTTACTACAGATGTTCGAAAGCAGTTATCTGTGAACAAGGCACTGTGTTCAACAGGCAGCATGGTGCTAATGTGCGGTGCACCTTCCCACCATGCCTCTGACCAGGGAAGGGTGCACTCTGGCTCAAACGCCACCTCCTGGCTGAGAGGCAGGGTTGAGATAAGCACTCCAAGTGCCAATCCAGGCAGCCACCCAGCCAAGCAACCATCTACTGCTGGGGGAAAGACCAGGCTGCACAGCCAACCGAGCCTGTACCCAACTGAGGGCAGGGCGAGAGGTCTCGCAGCTACAGGCTGATGTTCTGTGGCCCCACCAAGCCAGACATCTGGCACAAACCGAGGTGCTGGAGTCTGGGGCGGAGCTGGGGTGGTCCCTGGCGCTTTGCTTCCAGGGAACTGAACAGGAAAGGTCTTCAAGTAGTGCAGCGCGCCGGCCAGGTCAGGTAGCCAGCTCGCCATGGGAGGTGCAGCGGGGGCACGTGCGCCCTCACAGGCAACGCCACAATTACCTGTTTTGGTTGTGAACGCTTGACGCTTTCCCTTCACGGATTCAAGGATACCTGAATACACGCTTCTTGTTGTTGTTGTTAGATGCCATCGAATCGTGTCCAGGCACAATAAAACAATACTAGCCAGTCCTGAGACAGTCTCACAACTGCCTTGTTTGCGTCTCCTCTGAAGTTGGTACATCTAGCCATCTTTTGCACTGCCCTTCTACTTTCCCAAATCCGAGGACCCCTTTCCAGACTGATCCCTCCTGATAGCGTGTCCGAAGTGTTAGCCAGTGTCACCGCCCTTGCTTCCAAGGGGCATTCTGGCCACACTCCTCCCAAGACAGACCTGACCAGCATTCGGCAGTCCCCGGCACACACAGTTAATATCCTCTGGCAGCGTCGTGCCTTAAAGGTGTCAGTTCTCCTTCGGCTCTCATTCACTGTCCGGTCGTTGCAAGCCTATGCGGTGACTGGAAAGACTACCTGACCACACTAGTCCTCGAAGTGACACCTGTGCTTTTTAACACTTTACAAAGGTCCTCGGAGGCAGATCAGCCCACTGTAATGATCCAGCCCATGGTTCCGTGACTCCTGCTTCTATGTGCATTAAATATGAGTCAATGAAAATGAAATTCCTGGCAACTTCCACCTCTCCTCTGTTTACACGATGTCGTATGTGTCCAGCTGTTAGGGTTTTTGTTTACTTAGGTTGAAGTGCAGCGCTTACCTAAGGCCAAGGCTGATGTCCTCTTTGATCTGTAACAGCGAATTCTGGATGTTCCCTTTGCTTTCAGCGGGAAAAGCTATATCACAGGTTGTAAACGAGCCTTCCTTCCATCTGGATGCCAACTGCTTCACAAGGCCACCTTCTCAGATGATTTGCTCAGAGCTGATCGGACAAGTATGGTCAAAGGATACAGCCCAGATGCACACTGGAACTTGCCTTTAGACCATGGAGTCCCGCCTTTTTCTGTGAACAGCCATCTCCTGGGTCTATGGACAGGCTCCACGTGAGCACAGGGACATTCTCTGGATTCCACCGTCATAAAAAGTTGTGCAGAAGTAGTTCCGTCCACAGCTGACTGCCTTTGCAGAGTCAACACAACACGAGGAAACGTCTTTCTGGTATTCTCTCCTTTCAGCCAAGCTGCACGGGACACCAGCAATGACACCCTCGATTCCACATTCTCTTTGGAACCAGCTTAAATTTCTGTCACTGTACTGCTACAATCACTTTACAGTTGTCATTAGTAAAATTTTACGTGGTGTGGTATTAGTGATAATGTTTCATAATTTCTGCACTCTGTTGAATCATCTTTCTTTGAAATGGATGCAGCTATTTGGCCAGGTAGTGGTTTTCCAAATTTGTTGGCACAGAGGAAAACGTACACATGTGTTTGCGGAACGTTTTCATTTTCTCTCAGTTCCTGAGGCCTTGTTTTGTGGCACAGCCTTCAATGCAGCTTGGACGTCCTCCTCCTTCAGTGCCTTCAGTCCTTGAGCATATGCTACACCTCTTGAAAGGGTCTGAACGCCAACCACTTCTTTTTGGTATGGTGACTATATTCCTCCCGTCTTCTTTTGACATTTCCTGCATCATTCAATACCTTGCCCACAGGATTTCCAAAAGTGTAACCTGAGGCCTGAATACTTTCTTCAGTTCTTCTCCTTTGGCTTCCTAATCCCAGATCTGGGCGCATGCTGTGCACCACGTTACTGCGCCTTCTCCGGTGCCTTCTGCGATGGTGGGCTGTTTCCCTTCACCATTCCTTTCCGTGCGTCAGCTACTTACGCTATGCGCGAGGGCCAGCTTCAGTCTCTCCTCTGACATTCATTTTGGTCTTTTCTTTCTTTCTTTCTGTGCTTTTTAAGGACCCTTTGCTTTCTCCATGTGTGTTATCCTTGATGAGCTCCCCCTCCCCCAGCTCATCCGTGTTCAATGCATCAAATCTGTTCTCAGAGCAGTGCCTAAATGCAGGCAAGTCACACTCAAGGTCATACTTTGGCTCCTATGGATTTTCTTCATTTTCAACTTGAACTTGCTCACAAGCAACAGATGGTCTAGTCTGCAGCCCGTCCCTGGCCTTGTCAGACGAATGATATTGAGCTTCTCTGTCATCTTCCCAGTTGTAGACAATTTGATCCCCATGTATTCCATCTATCGAGGGCCTAGTGTATCACTGCCATTCACGTTGTTGAAAAGACATGTATTTCCAATAAGCACACCACTGGTCTTGCAAAACCCGATCACGTGTCTTTGGTATCTTTTGTATCACTTTGCTTCCAATTTCACATTCCAATCAGATGCAATTACCAATGCATCTTGATTGCATGGTAGATCAATTTCAGGCTAAAGAAGTTGATAGAATTCATCAATATTCTGGCTGGTAATCATCTTAACTGCCTTCTTTGCAGGCCTATGGGTACTACCTCACCCGTGACAGTGCTGTATTCACGACAGACCGTGAAATGCTCTGAGGTGAGTGCCATGCCGCTCCTCTTCGGTTTCTCATAGAAGATCGTGATGGTCTGATTCAACACAGCCCAGACCACCGGTTTCAGCTCACTAATGCCAAGATTCTCCACTTCCAAGCCCTTTATTTGTATTTTGTAATATCCAACTCTCCTCATCTTGAACTGTGTTCCGATGATTACGGGACACTAGCACCTATTTCTTCTCATTGTGAGTCACGCCCCACCAGCAAACGAGGTCCCCAAAGAACCCCCCCTCCCATTCACATCAAGGTCAACCTGACTTTGAGGGGGCAGCTCCTCCCCTGCCATACTTGGAGGGCTTCCCTCCCAACAAGACAATGTCCCACTGTTCTCTCTGCCAGGTGCCCGTGGCTGGAGGTCATCAGGTCCTCCTCCGGAAGCTCTGCTGAAACCTGCCCACCACGGTAACTCTGTCGGTAACGGAAATGCCAGTGACATTGCTCCCGGCCTTGCAGCACAGCATGGGAAACTGACTGACAGGAGAGGGGTGGGCTATATGCCCGGGGTGAGAAACAACACACAGCCAGGTGCCAGAACGCATCTCCACCATGGTTTACAGGTGTCCCTGTACATGCGCACATGTGAAATTTTCCACCACGGAGCTCAGCTCAGCGACTCGCGGGGAGAAAAACTTGAGAACAAATAGCACATGGAGGTTAGCAGAGGTGACTACAGCTCCTCGAGGTGCTCCCGCTCACTCGTTACCCTATGGGTTGTGGGGCCATCGTGCAGGACAGAATGTGTCCCGAATAGGAGGTCGCCCATCCCACCGTGAGGAGAGGAAAACAAGAGGGCCGGCCCCAGAGAAGAAAGAGGAAGCGCACGGGGGCTGAAGCGAGCCCTGTTTGTCACTCGAACCCCGCAGCACACACGTCCCACCCCGCCGGGTCACCCCACCCCTCACAAAGCAGCTGTGAGCTCATCAGACCTTCCAACCAAGGGCTCACGGAGGGAGAGGCCGGGCTGCTGTCTGGAGATACCGAGCAGGAGCCGGCTGTGAGTTGGAGTCTGCCGCTGATAATCTGGTGCCTGCCAAGTGGCCTGTCTCTGCTCAGGTCTCTGCCTCCCCAAGCAGGCCCCGGAGAGCAGGGCCCTTCCTGACAGCCTAAGGCTGCTCCCGCCTCCCAAAAGCTGGCATAGTGTCTTCAAACTCGTGTCTTATGGCAAGTCACCAGCCCTCCTGTGCCTCAGTTTCCTCGCTCATAAGGCGGGCATAACAAAACTGGAACCAACCACGTAAGGACCGCCAAGCCAGCCAGGCATGCCACGGACCCCAGCAACCTGCTTTCAGCAGCCTTCACGGTGTTTCTGACGGTACCCAGCGGAGCCCTTCCTCAGCATGCCTCATTCCACAACCCCCTCCCGAGAACGGGAAGCAGTTCTGCTCCGCTCAGCTCCGTGGAGACAGGAGCTCAGCCTCACTCCTGGGCTCTCAGGGGTAGGGCAGGGGCCCAGGCTCCTTCCACAGTAGAAGACAAAAAGGACAGGACGTGCTCCGAGTCCCCTGGGGTCACCAGAGTGCCTGCTCTGCTAGATGGTCCTGAGAGAGGGCCACAGTGTCCGTCGCACTAAGACAGGCGTGAAGGCGACGTCCTGGAGTCCCACTGGATGCCAAGATCCTGGAGACACTTTGGTTGTCACCTGGTGGGATGCTGTGTGGGTCAAGTGCCAGGGTGATGCTGTGAAGCTCAGCGCCCCAAGTTCCCATGCAGGCCTGGCTCTGGGCTCAAGGCAAATGTTGCCCTGGCCTCTGCCTGGTGCCCTCAGCTGACAGCCCCTGACCCACCCCCTGCCTACCTCCTCCCTGCATCATCTTGTAGATCTTGCTCTCGATGTGGAGCTGAGGGTGTTTGGTTTTGACACATTCAAGCTTGATGGCAACTTCCTCTCCTGCAGCAATGTCTGTACCTGTGGGAAGAAGGGCAGTGTCACCTGGAGTCACCCACACCAGAGGCAGAAGTGGCTTTCCAAGACCACGCAACCACCTGTGACCTGCTACGCAGAGCTGGGGAGCCGTGCCCAGCCACTCAGACCCCAAGACGCTCCATCCGTCTGTTCGGTCCTGTGATCGAAGACCCTGATCCCCCCAACATGGAGGAGGGCCAGGGTAGGGCACCTTTGAGCTGCTGGGTTCACATCCACACCGCACACCTCATTCTGCTTCCCCTGCCACACCAAAGGGATCCATCCCACAGGCAGCAGGCTGGCCGATTTGGGATCATTCTGGTATGTCACCCAGGGTGACAGCCCTGCCACTCCCTTCAGCTTCCTGAGGGCAAGACAGTTAGCCACATAGCAGTGGGAACAAATGATCGCAGCCTCCACACACAGCCAATCCATGCTGGGCCTGGCATTGGTGTAGGGGACGCCCCAAACCCCTGCTTAACCCTCAGTGGAGCACAAGCAGGCTGCCTTCTCCAGACGCCTTGGCCAGGGGCCCACACCAAGCAGGAGAGACCCCCAGTCCCCACACAAAGCTAGCCCAGTGCCTGCAGGTCCACACCCCCAGGAACGATACTCAGACACTGAGTCACATGAGAGGATGGGCACAAGGGGACCCAGGACCCACCCAGTACCGAGATGCTGCAGCCCAGCACTGTGACGCTGACACGCTGATGAGGCGGCACCGGCTCCAGCTCATCTCCGCGTCTTGCCAGCCACCCAGCTGGGAGCTACAGGCATTGTCAACAGCCACAGCAGGTCCAGCAGCCCATGTCTGTGCAAGCACACCAGCAGCGCATCCACCTGCTCACTCAAAGGCTGCTGGGCCGAGTCTACCCCAAGGGTCACTGGAAATAAAGCCTGGAGACCTCCTTCAGAAAGATCAGAGCCACAGAAAGCCCCAGCTCACAGCTCTGACCTGACCCTCAGGCTACCGTGAGGCCTGGGTTCTTCCTGCTCAGCCTCAGCCTGCCTGCAGCAGGAAGAGGACTTTGGACACAGGTCTGGGCACTGCCCACCCTCCTGGAGACCCGCTTATCATAGAGCAGGGAGGCTCCTCAGAGCAGCAGGACAAAGATCACTAGCACCTGTGGAGCCACTGTCACTGAGGTTGTGCACAGCAGTACTGTGGCAGCTCGAGGGACTGGCTCCCCAGCATACAGAATAGGGGGGGAGGGGGGATGGCCCCCCTTGGGCGCCAGCTGGCCACTGTTGTGACATCTGGATCTCATCCTTGAGGTGCCTGGTCTGAATGCACCACGGGACAAAGCATCACTGAGCTGTCTGGCACCTGGGTGGCAACAAAGTGATGCAGCCGCAAGCTGAGGACACACAGGGCCCCACGTGAACCCCAGCTCCCCCACCCTCAGCACAGGCCTGTCCTGTCCCCTGCCTCAAGAGCACCCGGCAAGTCTGGGCTCATCCTGGCTCACTTGCCAACAAAGTAGAGGGATGCTCAGCTCCCCGTCACCACCCTGGCAGCGGGTAGGCCGGCAAGGCCAGGGCTGTGCGCCCGTCACTCTACGGGCACCACAGAGAGGGTCTCTCAGTCTGCCCTGCACAGGGGTCTTCCAGATTCAGAGGGTCAACAGGCCTGAGGGGCCCAGAACCTTCTGCAGGGTGATCCTGGGCTATAACCCTGGAAGGATCTCGGGGCAACTGTGAGCAAGGTCTTCTCAGCCACAAATGGCCCAGCAGGCCCAGGGAAGGACCCCCAAACCCAGAGGCCAGTCTTAGAGGGGCACTGAGTCCGGAGGGACCAGAGCCTCCTGGCTGGTTTCAGAAGGGCAGTGGCAGAATGATTTCAGTCTTAATCACACTCAACGTGGATGACCAGCTTTTCAAGATGAGCACCCAACTCAGTCACCTAATTGCCTAGGAACGGGACGTGATGGCAGATGACTCAGCGCCAGACCCTGCACCAGTGTGGCGGGCACCTGCACGCCCACCCAGCCAAACTCAGGCTAAGCAGATCAGCCCCAGCTCCCGACTGCCCAGCCTGCCGGGACCAGCGCCCCCAGTGCCGAAACAAACCCCCCCCACCCCAAGGACCACCAAGGACAGAGAGCACAGGCTCAGCACAAGCCTGCAACCCGCTGGTCTGACTCTGTTACTGGGAAGCAGGGAGCCACCTGGCTAGGTCTCGGGCAGGGCCAGGGGGTGTGAGGTGTCACTGCCCGGAGTGGTTCTGAGGCCGCACAGCTGACGGACACAGCTGGCCCCATCGTTCTCCCTCGTATTGCTAACCCACTGTGTCACCAGAGCAGCTTGGTGCTGGAGAAAGGTGGCTATTGTGTTGGCTTGTCGGTCCATTCAGCTCTCAGATCGAAGGTTAAGACCTTTGCCAAGCCCTGATCTATAAATAAAATCAACAGTGTTGCCCCTCTGGCTGAGGGCGCACCCGCTACTAGCCAGGTATAAATATTTAAACAGCGTCTTTACTCAGCAGGCCAGTCGGTAGATGCACGGGACCAGGGGGTAGGAGGTGTCCACAGCCCTGGTGTCCTCCTCCAGGTTCTGGGGTCACTTCCTCAGCAGAAGGGTCGGGGGCTCAAGACACCCTGGGACAGGCTGAAAGGCCGCTCTCGAAGTACAAGGACAGTGGTTCCTGGCGGGCCCCCAACAGGCACCCCAGCCAAAGAGACTGGCCAAGGCGGGCTGCTCCACCCCAGACCCTGTTTACGCTGCCATTACACAACAGCTGGGGAGCAGCTCAAGTTCAGGAGGCTGGGGTAATTCAGCACATGTGCTCGTGAAGGGAATCGCAGGAAAACCAACCGGCTGCTTGCTCAACTCTCCACTTCGAGGTTCCGGTCAGTCTTTTACTATGGGAGACACCCCCCACCCTTCTAACCCGAGACGTCTGTCCCACAAGGCACATTCAGAACCGAGTTCTGGGGGCTTCAAGAAGTTCAAGGGGCAGAGGCGTGACGAACGAGATCGTGTAATTCTCCTCAGACAGGGACTCTAATTCGGTCACTGGTCACTGTCACCTGTCCTTTCCCAGTGGTCTCCCTTGGGGTCATCATGGTCCCAAAGCCCTCCCCTACCCAGGTCCGCAGGCCTTCCCAGCTTGCAAAGCGCAGGGGCCTAGAAGGACGACGGAAAGAAGGCGCCCCAGGACCCAGCCGGAGTGTCCCCGCTCGGCCGAGTTCAGCCGTGGACAGTCCCCCCGGGGTGTGGGGCCCGTTCATGCTTTTTGTTTACAAGGGTACCTCGCCCGACCCCGGCCCCCAGGCTGCCCTGGGCAGCGGCTTCCCGGGGCGGGTCCGGCCCTGCGCGACCAGCTGACAGTGGCACCTGGTACTGGGGCGGGGGACAGGAGTCCGCGGCCCAGCTGTCCAGGCCTGCCCACGCCACCGCCGGCACCGCTAC